AGGCTAGCATGAGGAGGAATACAGCACGTATGAAAGGGGACTTTTTAAAAATGCAGCCTGTGTTTTGCATGCATAACACCTCCATTCAAAAATGCAGCATCTGTGTGGCATATTGGAAAACCGCTGCCAGTCCCAAGCAAGTCATGATGGCTATATTGCAGGTTTGGCAGGTTTGGGAGCTAGTTCTTCCTCCAACCCAAGATATTCCTGCAATCAGCTCTGGCACTGCAATGTGCTAAAAATCAAAGCAAATCACTCCCATTAAAAAGCAAAATAGGGTACATGCTTAATTGTAACTTTCCAGAGCACGGTTCTTTAATAAGGATATGACGTTCATGTTTATGTACATATGTATTTCTGAAGACATGGAATGTGTAATCTTTATCATCTGCCTGAAAGTTTACAGATTTGGAACTAGGGGAATGAGTTAAAGGAGAGAGATTTCACAAATGGTAGTAGGGCAGGAGGAGGGGGTAGCGGTGATGGAGAGAAGAGGAAAAGACGTAAATTCAGATGCTGTGGCTTCTCCTGGGGGAAAGGAAGAGCAATTGATCTCAAGGTTTTTATCTTGCTAAGGGAAGGGAACTCACTAAAGACAATTCTGGAACAAGGAGGCGCCAAGGAAGAACTGATCCCAGGGAGGCTATGCAAAGCAGGGCATAGCTTGCAACCTCATCTTTCCCTTTGAAACAGCCCAGCTGATCTTGCTCTAGATATCTGGAAACTTTTCAACTATGAGTAATCATACTATGTGATATGGTCCACCATATTCCATAAACCTCCTAGAAGGCATAGAGACCCAGTATACATAAACCCTAGTGATATGCATGAATGCTAGTTACACATTTATAACTAGAAATTGGGAGTGAATTATAGTGGCCATTTTTCATTGGTCTTCCGAAGGAAATGGATCATCAAAAAGGTTAACAGACCCAGGCATAGAGCTGCAGGAACTTTACAAATGTAAATTCCTAGGTATAGGGACAACTTTAGAAACAATGTGTGTTCATAATTGTGTTACACAATTGCCTCAAGGCAATCATGCAAGCATTTATAGGTATTTTTCTGGCTCTCTAGTCATTCTCTGATTGTACAATTGAACATGCATCTGGGGACATGATGAACAGTAAGTGCTTGAGCAATGTGTCCAAATCCTTCTTAAAGTGTCTTTTCCAGAACTGGACAAAGTACTCCAGACAAGTGTAATGTTGAATAGAGGGGAACTAGTACTATATCATGGGATTTGGAAACTACACCATATGCTAATGCAGCCTAAAATAGCATTGGCCTTTTTTTGCAGCTATACCACACTGTTGGCTCATATTCACCTTGGCTGATCTATGACAATTCTAAGATCCTTCTTGTTTGCTTTATTTCCCTTGCTGTAATAGCCTGTTAAATTTAATTTTGTGGTTTTCTGTCCAGTGCTTAGGCCTATCAATATCTTTTTGAATTTTGTTTCTGTCTTCCAAGGTATTAGCTATTCTACTCAGTCTTGTGTCATCTACAAATCTGATAAATATTCCCTGCACTCCCTCATCCAAGTCATTGATAAAAAGGACTGAACCTTGTGGTACCCCACTTGTGACCTCCTCCCAATTTAAGGAACCATTGATAAGCAATCTCTGAGTATGATTCTGTAGCCAACTGTTTATACACCTGACCAACTACTGCTGCTCCAACTACTGTTTCCTGCAACACCAAGAGCCCTAAAAAATCATTCTTAATGTGCATGCCCCAAGCTAGCAGAATTTTAGGGTTCTAGAGCTCTTTATGCTTGCCACACATGCCACATACTTTGCACAATAGAATTGAGACCAGTGTCTGAATAAACATGCATTGGGCTGAGCAACAAGACAAAAGCTGTAACTCTGGTGAAACAGGACTACCATATGTATGTCTTCAGAACTAAGGCCGATAAGGCTACAATCCCGTAGCTGATTTACTCATGTGTAAGGGAAATCATGACTCTCAATGTGGTGCAATGGATGGACTAGGACTCTGGAGAACAGGGTGTGAATCCCTAATCAGCCATGGAAATCAGCAAGAGGATTCTGGTCATGGAGTTTAACTGGACTTGCTTCCAGGTTAACGTTTATGACTGCAGTGGAAATCATGACTCTCAATGTGGTGCAATGGATGGACTAGGACTCTGGAGAACAGGGTGTGAATCCCTAATCAGCCATGGAAATCAGCAAGAGGATTCTGGTCATGGAGTTTAACTGGACTTGCTTCCAGGTTAACGTTTATGACTGCAGTCATAATCAAGCAGTTTCTGAGATATCACAGCAGTCTTTGTCTACCTTGCCAATACCAGTCAGACAGCACTTATATTACCAAGGGGAAAGTTCTGTGGAATGTAGTTAATTTTAATCATCACCACTGAGCTGTATGAACTCTTTTGTCTTTGCTGGAGAGAAGGTGGAGTACCACAGGACATGAAGGACGCAAACATCGTCACATTGTATAAGAACAAAGGCGACAGGGGCGACTGCAATAACTACCGTGGTATCTCTCTTCTCAGTGTTGTAGGGAAGCTGCTGGCCCGTGTTGTGCTGAAGAGACTTCAGGTGCTTGCAGACAGAGTGTATCCAGAATCACAGTGTGGTTTTCGAGCTAATAGATCCACCACTGACATGGTATTCTCCCTCCGACAGCTGCAGGAGAAATGCAGGGAACAACAACAGCCACTCTTTGTGGCCTTCATAGATCTCACAAAGGCCTTTGACTTGGTTAGCAGGGACGGACTTTTTAAAATACTTCCCAAGATTGGATGTCCACCTCAACTCCTTAATATCATCAGGTCCTTTCATGAGGAAATGAAGGGCACTGTAGTTTTTGATGGCTCAACATCAGATCCCTTTGACATCCGAAGCGGAGTAAAACAAGGCTGTGTCCTTGCGCCAACCCTGTTTGGGATCTTCTTTGCTGTCATGCTGAAGCAGGCCTTTGGAACTGCAACAGAAGGTGTCTATCTCCGGACTAGATCAGATGGAAAGCTCTTTAATCTCACTAGATTGAGAGCGAAGACCAAAGTCCAAATGAAATGTATGCGGGACTTCCTCTTTGCTGATGATGCAGCCATTGTTGCCCACTCTGCTGAAGACCTCCAACAACTCATAAATCATTTTAGCAAGGCCTGCCAAGACTTTGGACTAACTATCAGCCTGAAGAAAACACAAGTCATGAGCCAGAGCGTGGACTCACCTCCCTGTATTACTATCTCCATGCAAGAACTGAAGGTTGTTCATGAATTTGTGTACCTTGGCTCAACAATCTCTGACACTCTCTCCCTAGATGTCGAGCTGGATAAACGCATTGGGAAAGCAGCTACCATGTTCTCTAGACTCACAAAGAGAGTATGGCTTAATAAGAAGTTGACGGCATACACCAAAATCCAGGTCTATAGAGCCTGTGTCCTGAGCACACTCCTATACTGCAGCGAGTCCTGGACCCTTTGTGCACGGCAGGAGAGAAAACTGAACACCTTCCATATGCGTTGTCTTCGACGCACTTTCGGTATCACCTGGAAGGACAAAGTTCCAAATAGAGTAGTCCTAGAACGAGCTGGAATTTTCAGCATGTATACAATATTGAAACAGCACCGTCTACGTTGGCTTGGGCATGTCGTGAGAATGGCTGATGGTCGGATTCCAAAAGATCTTCTGTATGGAGAATTAGTGCAGGGAAGCCGCCCCCGAGGGAGACCACAGCTGCGTTACAAGGACATCTGCAAGCAGGATCTGAAGGCCTTAGGAATGGACCTCAACAGATGGGAAACCTTGACATCTGAGCGTTCAGCCTGGAGGCAGGCGGTGCATCATGGCCTCTCCCAATTTGAAGAGACACTTGTACAGCAGACCGAGGCAAAGAGGCAGTCCCGAAACAAGCAAAACCAGGGAGCTGGACAGGGGACAGATTGGATTTGTCTCCAGTGTGGAAGGGATTGTCACTCTCGAATTGGCCTTCTCAGCCACACAAAACACTGTTCCAAGACCTCCATACAGAGCACGATACCATAGTCTCTTGAGACTGAAGGATGCCTACACATAATCAAGCAGTTTCTGAGATATCACAGCAGTCTTTGTCTACCTTGCCAATACCAGTCAGACAGCACTTATATTACCAAGGGGAAAGTTCTGTGGAATGTAGTTAATTTTAATCATGTCATGCGTGCAATTCTTGCATTCCCTGTTTACACAGCCATTTGTAAATATGCAAATATGTGTAAGAAACATCTGGATTTTTTGGTTTAAAAATTCATACAATAGTGCAACTACAGCACATTAAATGGCCAGCTAAATCCATCTGCAAAACATTCATTGACCAACTCCTCCAGAAATCTATGCATGCCATACGTCAGAGGTCACACAATGCACAGAAATGTGCTTCTAAAGCACATGAATGACTCATACAAGTCAGCCAAATCACAGAGAGCAAGAGAAATAATAAGTGGAAAGAAATGTAACTGAACAGCTTCCAGGCGCCAATCCTCAACTTGAGGACTAGCCCCTTAACCTTCCTCAAATTTTTAAATCTACAAGCACCGTCCCTTCGAATCTCCCCCTCCAGCATCCACTTCCTTGCCACGCCCCTTTCTAATTCCCTATCACCTGAGCCCCGCCTCTTCTTTGCCTTATCGCCAATCAGCGACGTACACGGTTTAGTAGACTCTCCCCAATATATAGCTGCCCTAAACAGTGCCTGATTCAAATCTCCGAGTTCATGTCCCATGAACTCGTGCTGAATTGGTTTGACACCGCCTTTTGAGGTTCCGTCACGATTTTCTCTTATTTAAATCGCGCCTTTGCTTCACCGGCCAAGGAATCCCATCCCTTGGCGAAAGTCTCCTTATTCAGGCAAGATGGGGACGCCAAGCTTGAAACGTGAAGGCCCCACCGTCCTGGTGCAGCTGCATTCTGGGAGTAGTAGTTTCTTTCACTCTGCACCACTATGGCGAATCCCTGAGAAGAAGGAGGCCAGGGAGACTACAATTCCCAGCGGCCTATGCGAAGATGGGCGCCTGTGCCTGTCCCACCTGGGCCGGCAGCCCTGGGGAACGGGAATGGTCTTTCAAAAGCAGGAAGGAGGCGTGCGCGCGGTGGCCACCTGCCTGGCGTCCCCTTAACTTGGGGGGGGGGGAGGCAACTGGGGCTCTCGCGGACCCTTCGCCCGCCCCGCCTCTGGTGCTGCGGAAAGGCCCTGCCTTGTGTGAACCGCAGCTGGTCTCGAAGGAGAAGCAGAAACGTGGTGGGTAGTGGTCACAGCAGTTCTGCCAGTGGGTTGGGCGGTGCAATCGGGCTGGTTTTGGGAGGCTGAGAGCGGCTTCACTGGGCGGTGTGGCCGGCTTGCGGTGTGACACGACTTTAAAAAGCACGTGTGTCTGGGGGAACTTGGGTTTGTGTGTGTGTGTGTGTGTGTGTGTGTGTGTGTGTTGGGTGGCTAGAGTGGTTTGGGATAATAAATTGAGATAAGCCTCTCTTTTGCCTAGTATTGAAGTTTCTGCTCCGCTGGGCTAGGGACGTTTTGCAAGCAGGATGCACAGATTTTAATGGTGTGTCCTTTCACACGATGGTCGATCGGTGACATTTCTCTGCTGCCTTTCCTCCAGTGGGTGGCATACACAACTTTCCACCTTATCCACGCAACCACCCTGTGAAGTCACTCAGGGTGCGGGAGGGCAGCTGGCACCCCGGAAGGGGCATACGTGGCACGGTGGGGACGAGAACCGAACTGCTGCATGGTGGCTGCTCCTTTATGTGTAGGTTGGTACATGCTGCCTACTGTACTTTGTCTCTCTTCCTCCAAACTTTCAACTCTTTTGCTGCTGGGGATGTAGACTGGAGGGGGTCCCCTTGTGAGGCTGCTAGTGATTAAAGTTGATCAAAAAGGTGGGACAAGTAAGTATTCATTACTTCAAATATAAGTGAATTCCTGTCAAGCCCTGATGGTTTAAACTAGATGATCCATAATTACAAAATAGGGCTTTATTCGTGATTCAGAGTAATTTCAGCAGACTCTTTCTCTTACTTAAGTTATATATTAGAAGGCAGTGGCTGACTTCTGAGAGCATAGAAGAGGTCAGAGCTTAGTGGTGGAATACGTGTTATGCAGACAGATATCTCCAGATACCATCTTGGGCATCTTTCACTATAAAGTTCATAGCCGAGAAAAGCTATAGTTGAGGACTACAGTGTGGCCATGCTGGCTGAAAGATTCCAGAAGCTAAAAGTCAAAAAGAAAAAATATTTTCCCCCTCCCAAACATATTTTTTTTTTCATAATAGGCCTGGTGCAGGCATCACTCTGAATGGCTGGAGAGCTCCACCAGTTAGGATAAATCATTATTAGGTGAATAACGTGGTCCACCTGTTTTAGGGGACAATTCCCGTATTTCTAATTATTCGCCATCCTGGCTAGGACTGGTGGAAACTGAAGTCCAAAGTACTTGGAAGGCAGCAGGTCCCAGAGTGGAGGTTGAGCTGGATCAACCAATGGTATGGCTTGTATAGTATGCTTGTATAGAATGTTCTTTCTTTGAATATAGAGCCTGCCGTGTCTGTTAGGTTTCTCTAATAGCTGTGCTTTTAAAATCCTTGCTCTATAGCAGTGTTCATCCATCCTGGGGGTTGTAAAGTGTTTTCTCAGGGAGGTCAAAGGCCACTGTCACACACCCCCAGCTCCCCTGTCTGTTTCCCCTAACATCCAGGTTCGCCTTTGGGCACGACTTATTCTTTTCTTCCTTTCTGTGCTGCCACCAGGGGATATTCTCCTCAATGTACCAAATATGACTACTAGATCAGTGATGTCAAACAATGTTTATTTATGGGTTTGTATGTAAATCACATAAAGAAAATCATGGATGGTCTTTTCTTATTTATTCAGTAAATGTAGCTTTATGTTTCCTTATATAGGTCACTTTAATCAAGGTATTACTATATTCATCTATTTATTTACTTCTTAGCACTTTTAACTCTTTCCATTCTTAACCACACCAACTTTCGAAGTTCTTGTTTTCAATCCTTCCCTAACTATCCCTCTTAACTCTTTCAATTCCACCATATCTCTCTCTCTTCTTCTCTCTAACTCCCTAATTACCCAACTGATCTAACTGTCCCAACTGTCTCCCCCCCCTTAGTTCTGTTGGTTCCGCGCCTCCTGTCCTGTTATAGGCTCCCACACCAGAGCTCTAACCTGACGGACAGGAGTGACGTTTGAGCTGTCCATCGCAGCCACCTTATATATGTTGTAGCCTTTGTTTAATAATTTCTTCCTTGACTTTTCAGAGCGGGATATTAAAATGAGCATAGATGTGTGTGTACGAAAAAGACCTTTTGGGGGTGAGAAAGATGCCTCTGTTTTTTGGGAAGGGATGGCTCTACCCCGTTAAAATTCCTTTTTAATGCAAGGATGGTGGGGAAGGGGGGTTCCTGCATGTTACTTGGCTATTATAAAAGAGGGTCATGAAAAAGGTTGGGAACCACTGCTCTGTAGAATGGTATGCTTATTTTTGTAATACCTTTTGATAAATTATTGGAGATTCTACTTCCTTGCAGAATTTGCCCCTGCGGAAAAGGCTACCTGAACTATTATTATGAAGGTGTATTTTTGGAAATGTCACTGTGTTTCATGGGAGCATTGAAGAAATTATATGTTAAACTTGAGAGACTGAATTCTTGTTAGGTTTAAACGTTTTGCTCCTCATCCAAGGAGCTTCTTCAGTCTGAGGAGAGTTAGTAGGAGTTCCCTAATATATCCTCCACGTTGGTTTCACTCCCCTCTGTCTTGAATAGGCTCCTTAGAAGGACAAAGGACTGGGGGTGAGGGATAATCTCACTTCTGCTGTCTTTCTCCACTATTTGTCATGGGTCGTTAACAGTTGTTAACAATGATCTTTCTGGTGTGTGTTTCTGATCTTTCTGGGAATGGACGAAAGGGCAGCATGATAAATAGGAGACAGATTGTATCTAAGGCCTCCACCCCGTTCAGTGAGGGATTTTCTGTATGCACATGTATGGCCTCCCTGACCCCTCTCTCAAACCATGCGTCTTCTCAGTCTAAAATGAGTACAGTAGTGCCTCGGTTTGTGAACGCCTCAGTTTATGTAATTTTTGGTTTATGAACCAAAATCCATAAGAAATAAAGCCCCGGTTTATGTTTTCTTTTTTTCGCACTACAAAAGGGTTTTCCCAGGGCGCATTGCACACGTAGTGCCGCCCCTTTTGTAGCACAATTAGCGTTTCGGTTTGCGTAAATTCCGTACTATGTAACATCGTGTAGAATGTATCCGTTTCACAAATTTTCGGTTTGCGTAAATTCCGTACTATGTAGCATCGTGTAGAATGGATCCGTTTCACAAACTGAGGTACTACTGTACATCAAATGAGTGTCCTTTGTCCTTCAAATGAAGGAACCCTACGGATTGTGATCTGAGCCATTGCCCCTCCTGTGCTGTTCTATTCTCCTGTCTAGTGGCCACACACACAGGAAAGACCACTGCTAACGACTATTAATGACCCATGACAATGGGTGGAGAAGGACTGCAGAAGTGGGATTATCCCTCAATCCCAGTCCTTTGTGTTTCTAAAGAGCCTATTCAGACCAGGGGAAGGTGAAACCAACATAGAGGATATATCAAGGGTCTCCTACCAACTCTCCTTAGATTGAAGAAGCTCCTTGAATGAGGAGCGAAACGTTTCAACCTAACAAGAAAAAAGTCCAGATGCCATGATACAACTTCCAGATAACCTCATCTGGATGACTGAGAATCTTCACAGATATATTGAGAGACTGAAATGTATTTTTTATTTTGTAAGAAACCCTTAGTTTTGTTGCTATGGTACGATAAAGAAGTAAAGATTGGGATCTCTGATGTTACTCCATGTACATTATAGACTGTTGAGTAGTTTAAGGTTGTGAGAAGTCCTTAGAAACCTTTCTTCATTGTTCCTGTTATCATTATTATGTGCAATGGTAAAACATCTGTGAAGAGGTGAGCTTTTTCTAAGAAAGAAAGTAATTGTAAAGAATGTAATGATTTGAGAAGTACTGGTATGCTGAGTGCTGTGGATAAAATTGTGAATCCTCTAATTTGAACCTCACCTTGCCCATGAAGGACTTAGTCAGATGAAACATTTGTTCTCATAGATGTGCATGATTCTCTACGGATCTTATCAATTTTTTTCCACCACCCACAAGCTGTGAGGCTTATCTAGTTTAGTTCAGTGCTCTTGTTGTTATTGTGACTAACTTATGCCTTTCATTTTTGACTGGATGAATTATTTTTTGTCTTGATTTATTCCAGGGGATGAAATTTAGAATTATGGTACTTTCCAATAGGGAGTTCATTTTTGCAGTTGGAGCCTCCTGTTGGAAGTTTCAGTTAGGGTTAATTAGCAGAACAACAAACAAAACATAGCCCCAGAAGGGAAACTCCAGCAGGGAAAGTAGACATTTAAAATATTTTAACAAGGAAGTGGTTTTTTGAAAAGTGATTTAGAAGAGAAGCTTAGACACAAATCCTAGCAAATCCTGTCCTCCTTCACAATCCAATGGGAGAAGCTTTTGCCACATATGAGAGATTCGGAACTCAGTTGATAACCTTAGGCAAGCCAGTGTTTCTCAACCTGCTCCCCCCCCTTTCCTGAGGATGGGGCTAAGAATACATAATGCACATTACTCAATTGTTGTAAGGCTTAGATGAAGCCCTGAGCACTTTAAAATGTTATGCAAATGCCATGTATCATTGTAGCCATTATTAGCATTATCCTGCAAATAACAGTGATATAGGAATAAGAGGCATATGGGGACACTGAACAAAGTAGATTGAGTGTATTTCTGTTTTACAGACAGCTCATCTAAGAGAGACAAACCTTAATTACAAGATAGTGTTCTGCTCACCACAACTTCTTGGTTCACACCCCCAGAACTTGGAGAATTCATTTGTTTAGAAAACAGCTGCCCCAAACCCACAATTGGGCAGTTTTGGGATTGCAGTCAAAACAAAACCCAAGCCAACTACATTTCCAAGCTGTGCCACCCCTTTTAAGGATAAGCTTGTTAGAATTTAGTATTTTTGCATATTTGTTGTTTAGTTGTGTCAGACTCTTCGTGACCCCATGGACCAGAGCACGCCAGGCCCTCCTGTCCTCCCCTGCCTCCCTTGCATAATACTCTGATGTAAAAGTAATCTTTATTTACTTCTCATTATTGGCTCCTCAGAAACCTTCAGCCATGGATATATTTGGAGACCTGCGGCGTATGAACAAGCGCCAGGTAAGGAAGAAGCATGAGCATCGTTTGCCTCACTGGATGGGTGTTTGCAAGCCTGCCTTGTGGATGGAATTGGGCTGTGCTGCCTGATTCTGTTGCCCCAATTAGTTCATTAAGGTTGTTTTATTTGTTTATTTATTGGTAAACTGATGAACATTTAATGAAAAATCCTGGGCTCAAGGGGGCGTTTCTTTCAAAAGGTTTAAGAACCACTGATTTAAAATATCAAAACAATTGTAGCTATAAATATTAGCTGGACATTTAGTCATCGGGGTTCAGGGAATCTCTCAGAGTAACAGCTGATAAAATTTCCAGTCAAAGAGATCTCACGAGGTTCTGAGTATCTCAGAGTGGCACCTAGTGGTCTCAGGTCCATGTGGAATAATTGAGAACACCTCTTTGATAACGTCAGAAACCAGTCAGGTCATGAGGAGAAGTCCAAGCCTCAAGTGGAGTTTATGGAGATTGGACTGGTCTTTTTGTGGCTATGAACCATAGAAGCCTACATAGCCTACAGCCAGGATACCTGGCTATCAAAACTAAACAAATCAAAATTAAAAAAAAAACCTTCCTCAATTCAAAACAAAATGCTGAATTCTGTAACCATTTGAAATTATACAAATTAAGTGTGTTTGTAGGTCAACTTGTATCTTTTACATAGGAGTTCTGAATTTTGTATAGGTCCTGCCTCTGTGCTTTTAATCTTGTTTTTTTTTTAATTGAAGGTCTAGAAATTTAACACAACTGAGATTGCCAGATCTTGAGTCCTTTTTTTGGTTTTGTATGATACTTGTTCAAAATACAGTGGTGCCCCGCTTGACGACGATAATCCATTCCAGGAAAATCACTGTTAAGTGAAATTGTCGTCAACCAGGGGAAATCACTGTTAAGTGAAATCGTCATCAACCAGGGGAAAAACTCCATTGGAATGCATTAAAAACCACTCAATGCATTCCAATGGGGAAATACCTCATCGTCCAGCGAAGATTGCCCATAGAGAACTGCGGATCAGCTGTTAAAATTGCTATCTTCCAAAGCAGAGGTCCAGAAAGCAGCCATTTTGCAAAGGGAGGGAAGCCATTTTGCGGAGGGAAGCCATTATGTGGAACCGGAAAAATTGTTGTATAGCGAACAGTTTGTGAAGCAGGCTCCTAATCAACGTACAGTAGTGCCTCGCTTAACGATTGCCCCACCTTACGATGAATCTGCTTTACAACTATCTTTTTGCAAATTTCACTTAGCGACGATCGGTTCCCTGCTTTGGGAACCGATTTTCGCTTTACGACAATCAAAAACAGCTGATCGCCGGGTTTTCAGAATGGCTGCCGGGTGCTTAAAATGGCTCCCCGCTGTACTTAGGGACGGATTCCTCGCTATACAGGCAGGGAAAATGGCCGCCGTATGGAGGATCTTCACTGGACAATGAGTTTTTACCCCATTGGAATGCGTTGAACGGGTTTCAATGCATTTCAATGGGGTTTTTAATTTCGCTTTACGATGTTTTCGCTTAATGACGATTTTCCTGGAACAGATTATCATTGTTAAGTGAGGCACCACTATAATGCAGATTTCCCCATTGGAACCATATCGGAAGAGAACCCCTGATTTTTTGTTGGAGTAAAGTTTATCTGTGTGAGAGTTTTTCCTCCAAAGAAATTTCTCTGGAAAGTTTGCAGGATTTTTAGAAGTTTTGTAACCACTGACTTTTTTTTTCTGGAAGAAATGCCAAGCTGCTCAGGATTATCAGCATCCTTATGCAGAATTACATCTTTACTACATAACATTCTCTTGTAAAGGGCAGAAAATTGACACACTGTACAGGAAAGATGCAGTCTTATGCAGGATGATAACTTTCTTGTGCAGGATTCACCCAGAAAAGCCAGAAGAAACACAATACTGCACCGGATCATTACATTTGCTCTTTAAAATGACATCTTTTCTGCACAGGCTTTATCAGAAAGGGCATTAAGCTATACCGAATTTGGCAGTTTTCTGTTCAGAACAGGTTAAAAAAATTTAAAAGGGAAAAGGAGCCCAGAATCTTGTTTTTATAAGAAGCCAGGAAACCTTGCTGGTACAAGGGAAAGGTCTTAGTGGGGAGTCTCAGCATGGCAAAGCTCAGATAATTGCTGACAATGAGAAATTGTACAAGTGCTCATCACCTACCTTGTTCGGTTGCCTCGGACTAGCTTTTTGTGTCAAGAAATCAAGGAGGGAAGAAAAAGGAATATATTTTTGCTTGTTTCCTTAACAATTTATGTGCTCTACAAAGTGGGCCATCCTTAGTTAGTCACCTTTACCAGGGAGATGTTAAATGTCCTACTTTCCCACATGCTGATCAACTTTGTGCCTCACTGATGGTGCTTTGGCTGATGCGGCCTCCTCCTTGGTAAACAGCTTTTGGATTGCCCTACTTTTGCCCGTCCCCATCGTGCTGTTGCCCTTGTTAGAAAGATACGGCGCCCCAGGAAGTTTCGTAAGTGCTGCTGTTGGTCCGCTGAAGACAAAGATTCTGAAATAGTTGCATGTCCAAATCCAAGCTGCTGTTTCTGCCTGTTTTCTGCCTGAAACAGGGCAGCGTAACGGGGAAAGGGTTCCCCTGCATCTCTGTCACTTGCTTCAATTGAGACAGGGTGCTGTAACAGTTCTTTAAAAACATCTCTGTGCCTGTTTTCTGCCTGAAACAGGGCAGCGTAACGGGGAAAGGGTTCCCCTGCATCTCTGTCACTTGCTTCAATTGAGACAGGGTGCTGTAACAGTTCTTTAAAAACATCTCTGTGCAGAACACACTTTGTCCCCCCCCCCCGGGGCACATCTTGGTCACTTGCAATTACGTTAAATGTAGATGTGATGGGGGTGTGGCTTATATAGCCAAGAAAGGGAAAAGTGAAGCAGCGCAAGACCTCTGTGATTCCTGGAGTTTCCTCTACAGTAGACTTTGCTTTCAGGCTTCTTGCTTTGGAAAATCATCACCTTAGAATGGCGGAGCTGGAAGGGATCATTGAGTCCAGCCCCTCTCAAGGAGGCCCAGTGGGGAATCGAGCCCCCCAACCTCTGGCCCCGCAGCCAGATGCCTCAGCCATCCAGCAGTTGCTTCGAGGGCTGCAGCTGATTGGTGAGCCAATTCTGCAAACACAGCAGTTCCCAAACTTATGGCCTCAGATGTGCTGGGCTACAACTCACAGAAGCTGTAGTCAGCCAGGAGTCAGGATTTCTAGAAATTGGTGTGTGTATGCGTGCGTGCGTGCCGTGCACTGCACTGCACTGCACTGCACACACATGGAGAGTATACATATGCATGTTATGAATGTACCATATTTTTCTGAGTCAGGATTTCTAGAAATTGGTGTGTGTGTGTGTGCGTGCGTGCCGGAGCCCCCACACACATGGAGAGTATACATATGCATGTTATGAATGTACCATATTTTTCTGTTTATAAGATGCCCCCGTTTATAAACCCCCCACACACTTTTCTAACCCCAAAATTAAGAATGGTTAGCTTTCAGTATCCAACCTCAGGGCTCAGAACGCTCTGACATTAGGAGTCCCTGTTGCTTCTGAGCCTACAGGCTCCACCTCCAATGAGGTTGTGCCAGCTGGTTTGTTCAGCGTCAGCTGACGTCAGTTCCATAAGGCTCATGATTGGAGGAAGCTAAGTCTCTTGACTGTAGGAAGCTAAGCCTCATGACTGAAGGAAGCCTGTTTACAGAGGCAAAATACAGCCGTTTTGTTCTCTCCTCAGCTATCTTAATTTATTTCTGTGTAAAAGACGCCCCTCAATTTTTAGTGTAATGATTTTAGGAAAAAGTAACATCTTATACATGGAAAAATACGGTATCTGTGTATATATATGTTTTAAAATGTTCGAGATATACAATTATAGTATCATAAAATCTGTACTGTGAGATATTGCTTCACATTTGTAATGATAACTATAATTTGTTGTTCCTAATCATCAACTCTTATTTACCTCCTTGCAGCTCTATTACCAAGTCTTAAATTTTGCTATGATTGTGTCTTCAGCACTAATGATCTGGAAAGGCCTTATTGTTATCACTGGGAGCGAAAGTCCCATTGTTGTTGTGCTCAGGTATGTCCTTTCCTGTGAGCAGTCCTGTTGTGAGGTTTGGGTGTGTGGCTCCTTCCGCCCTTAAAATACTAAATACACCTCATAGTCAGAGCTAGGAATCTGTTTTTTTAAAATTGTGTTTATTATCTTTGCATGGCACATTCCTTCTGGGAGTTAGAAGGTGTCACATTCCCACGTGGCCTTTGGTTGTTTCACGAAGCAAGAGCTCATGCTATGTGTCGTTCAGCTGCCACCAGTTGATTACATTAACATGGTTCACTTTTATGAGAGAGGTCCAGGCGACCTATCATTTAAGAACCAAGTAGAAATTGTTTATTGTTACAAGTGATAACAGTCCAGTCAATATCATTAACTCTCAACTCAACAACCTTCTCTCTTCACTGTCAACCGTCTACTCCATCTCTGTCCCGCCCTCCTTTTCTTAACTCCGCCCCCAACTCCTATTGGTGCATGCAAATCTCCACATAAATATTAATGAGCAGGGTGAAAGCTACAGAAGGCAGTGTATAATATTAGTTAACGGGAAAAGTGGAATGAAGGAGCAGATGGTCCACCTCTAAAAAAGCAGTGTTGGCTTGTATCAGATTGGGCTGGCATTTCTGGATTTCCCTTTTGTTCATTTCCCATCTGCTGATTTCAAGGGGAAGGGAATTGCTTATATCAGCACTGGGCTGGTTACCCTGCACCTGGCGTACTGAAAGAGACTTCATTTTAGTGAATCTAAATCTCTCCCATTCTGAGATCTGCAGCCAACAGAAACAGCTACCAGGGCATATCTCTGCCCATTCCCTTTTCGTCTGTGTTTGAGATGCATATTCACACCAACTTAATAGATTCCAACAAAAAGATCTGAAAGTTAGGATTGCCGGGGTCACAAAAGAGAGGACCCTGTTCCATTATGTAACATATGTTTCCATCAATTGGAATCTTACCAGCACATCTTAAAATGAAAGGGAGATCATATGAGCAAAACATGCAAAATCAATATGGGGGCAAACATCCTCTGCAGAATTGTGTGTTGTAATTGGGGCATTCCTTAAAATTTGCATTCCTTAAATGAGTTATTGCTTTAAAAATACTGGCCAGAATCCTATGTACATATGCAGGCATTAAGTGGCATAAAAGCTTGTACAGTGGTGCCCCGCTTGACGTCAATAATCCGTTCCAGGAAAATCGCTCTTAAGCGAAATCGTCGTCAAGCAAAGAAAAACCCATTGGAATGCATCGAAAACGGGTCAGTGCGTTCCAGTGGGGAAATACCTCATCGTCCAGCGAAGATTGCCCATAGAAAACCGCTGATCAGCTGATCAAAAATTTTTGTCTTCCGAAGCAGGGGTCCGGAAAGCAGCCATTTTGCAAAGGGAGGGAAGCCATTTTACGGAACCAGAAAAATCATTGTATAGCGAACAAATGGTTTGCAAAGCAGGCTCCTAATCAACGTAATGCAAAAAAAACCACAAACCCATTGGAACCATCGTTTTGCGATCCCAATAGCGATCACAAAAATGTCATCGTTAACTGATTTCGACATCATGTGGGGTAAGCGTCTAGTGGAGCGCCACGATATTTCTCATTGCATGCCAAGTTATATGACTGGAGTGCTATGAGGAATACAAGCATTAACTTCTGAACTAGCCCATGTTTTTATGTGTAATGTATGTACAGTAAGTAATAGGATTTTGGCCACAATTAATTCTGTATTAGTACATATGGTTTGAATGAATGTATTGATAACTGTTGCATTTTGGAATGTGAATTTGTATGTATGTGAAATAACACTTTTAACGTCAGTATCTTGTAAGCTGCTTGTTTTTCTTGAGCAACCAGAGCTGTAAAATTCTTCAGCCACAAAAGTTCTAAGAAATGATACAATCTCCGTAACCAAGTCTTTTTCCTCCTTTTCATTTCTAGTGGCAGTATGGAGCCTGCCTTTCACAGAGGAGACCTGTTGTTCTTAACAAACTTCCGAGATGACCCCATCAGGGCGGGTGAAATAGTGGTTTTCAAAGTTGAAGGCCGAGATATTCCAATTGTGCACAGAGTAATCAAGGTTCATGAAAAGTAATGACACCCCCCCACACTTTTCATTGGTTGTAATCTTGTTTCTTTATAACACAGTACACTTTTATGACTGATTCATTGATTGATACCATTTTTAATGCTATCTTTCTCCTGGCAAAGGAATTATTTGGAAGGAATAGATGTGCATCTTTACAGTGAAATATAATAATAGAGCAGAAATTCTTAGTAATTATTTCAGCATAAAAATAAATTGTCCTTTAACAATAATGAAGTATTAATTGCAACATGGCAATCTTCAATATAAGTACACAGGATGCATTTAATAAGTGTGGTTGGCCCTAAAGAGATAAGAATCTCAGATGCAATCTAGGAAGTTAGCCCAGCTGAAAAACATGACGCTTCTTGCAGCTTTGTGAGACAGACGCAAGTTTATGAGACCCCTTTTACTACACAAACAGCCCTTCCTGTGGCTTCTCCACCTCAGAAATGGCAGATTAGGGTGGAATTGAATGCTGCGTGAATGGTGGTCTTCTGGAATCCCCCAGTCAGAACTGTCAGGCTTTGACATCTGAGGTCCTGGCCCACCAAAGAATAAGCTCCCACCACAGAATCTGAAAGCCCATTCTTTCTTCCATATGATTCTAAGTGGGTCCCTTGTAAAATGAACTGGTATCTATGTGGCTTTCTATGCATGATCAACGGCACTGAGGAAGATCATTGTAAAGAAGAAGACCAGAGTCTAGAGAAATTACTTCTTGGACTACAGTTCCAGTGGCCACTGGCTAAGTTGGCTAAGGGATTCTAGTACAGTGGTGCCTCGCTTGATGAGGATAATCCGTTCCAGCAAAATCGCTGTAGAGCGAAATCCTCATCAAGCAAAATAAAAAAGCCCATTGAAATGCATTGAAAATCGGTTCAATGTGTTCCAGTGGGCTAAATACCTCAGCGTCCAGCAAAGATCCTCCATAGGGCGGCCATTTTCCATGACTGTACAGCGAAAAATTCCTTCCTGAACACAGTGGGGAGCCATTTTGAGCAGCTGGCAGCCATTTTGAAAACCCGACGATCAGCTGTTTTGATCGTCATAATGCGAGGAATCGCTTCCCGAAGCAGGGAACTGATCCTTGTAAAGTGGTTTTTGCCCATTAAAACATCATTTTGCACAAAAGCGATCACAAAAACTTCACTGTGAAGCGGATTCATCGTCAAGCGGGGTACCACTGTAGTTGTAATCTAAATAAAATGATATTTTTACAAGTTCTAAATAGTTCTTTCTGTCTGTTGCTCCCAAGTAGCTGACTTTCAGTGGCTTACTATTTACCTCTTACCCAAAAGGAACAGGTGAAGCTGTTTGTCCATCTACCCCAGCGTTGTCTACTCTGGCTGGCACCATCTCTCTTGGGTCTTTCTACCACCTGTTACCTGGCATGTTCAGTTTTTCAGATGGCCAAGATTGAACCTGGGACCTTCTGTATGCAAAAAGTGTTCTTTCACTTCCCAATATATTGGATCCATTGACTATGTGGCTACCACCTGCTGATCCTCTGGGAATTCCAGCTGACCCTCTGTAACCCAGCGTCAACACCCAGATTCTCTGTTTTTCACACACTTCGTGTCCGATTTTAAGCATTTGGTCAACTTTGCCTATTTTCTACTTCCTCAAGACATCCCTCAAAAGAAAAATATCCATCTTAAAAACCGAATGCTTATTTACTGGTTTATTCCTTTTCATGTATGCAGAATACATGCCCTCCATGTTAGGAAGTGTGCAAATCACTTAATAGTGATAGGGGAGGTGACAAATCTTGTTTTAACCAGCCAAAACTTCATTGTAGGTGCTTAGCTGATGTGGATGATTAACACAACGGGAGAAATAGCAGTTCAGATCTGTCAGCAAGAGTAAAATAAAGTGGTAATTATATATAGATAAGTATTAAAAACACAGGAAAAGTACTTCGTATATATTTGTGCCTTATCTCTTAAACCTGTCTGCTTGTGTTTTGCAAACATTTTAATTCATTACGGTAAAACATTAATGATTGACTTTCTGCCCTTTTGGTTTGTAGAGAAAATGGCAACATCAAATTTCTGACTAAGGGAGATAATAATGAAGTCGATGACAGAGGCTTGTACAAAGAAGGCCAGAACTGGTTAGAAAAGAAAGACGTTGTGGGCAGAGCAAGAGGGTAAGTAATGGTACAGAGTATACATTTTTGTACCCAAAGGGGGGGGGGGGAACAGACTATATAGTGTTGGCTGGGTGCCAACTCCAAAAACAGACATGGCATTTGGATATTGAAACTCCAAGAGCACTATGTTGATGAAGACAAACCTTGGGAACAAGATAACAGGTTAAACAGAGTCCCTAATCAGGCAGCTTCAAATCCTCCCTTCTAATAAGCAGAGTAAAGACCTGGAGGGTTTAGGAAAACAATGAGATAGTTTGATAAAAACTTACAACATAATATATTCAGCATAGATCAGACATATAAATATATGGCATTATATACCTAGCTTGTGCACAAATCTCTTCGAGCAACATAGACGTTTAGAGAAGTAAAGGCCACCAGACTCATTACTGTGTGGCAATGTGCTGTTCTTAGTCTTTTGCTTATATAGTAAGAGCAGCCTATCACTGTATACAAAGCAGCTGAACGTAGTTAACCAGCACTACCTAAGCTTGTTCCAGCTGCATGTCATCAGTCATCCATTTTACATTGATTCTTACAGGCATGATTTTGCATTTGTCATCCATTTTACATTCACCCAACAATATTAAATTTAACCGATTGTTCACTTGTTAGGAACAAATCCTGACATATAGGTGGCTGGTAACTTTGAAAGGAGTTCTACCTTTGTAGGCTTTGTTCCCCTGATGGAACCGTGGGCTTCTGTGTAAGATTCATTCCCTCTGATACCGGTTAGTCCTTATATCACCTATAACTTATATCACCTATATCCTTGGATAATCCAGGTGTTCTTGGATTGCAATTCCCAGAAGCCTTCATGGCCAGCTGCCCTATGCAATTCCCAGAAGCCTTCATGACCAGCTACCCTAGCTAGGGTTTTTGGGAGTTGCAGTCCAAGAACACTTGGGTTACCTGATGCTGGGAACCACTATCCTATATTAAACATTTATTTCCTTTAGTGATAGGGCCTGGATGCCTTTGCACATATATAGTTTTTGGGAGCTCTCATTTGGATTGCATCGTACATTGCATAAATGATATCATTGTAGTATGCATTTATTTTGCTCAGGCTTTTTCTTTTTCTTAGTAGAAGGTAGGCCTGCCTACTGTATGCACTGAAATAGATCATTCATCTTTGGCCTTGATTGTTATCCTTTATTGGTTATAATCATTGGATTTTAAAATTAATGTGGGCAAGGCAAAGAAGCCACTAGCCAACTACAAAGGGTTCAGACCTTCCTGTCACCTCTTAGTTCCACCCCCTCCAGAATGGGAAGTCTGTCCTCCTTCCGATCACTGATTGGAGAAGAAATATAGAACTTGCTTTCCTGTTTTCATCTGATGTTTTTAAGAACATCCTGGTAGTGCCAGTCAAGAGCAGTTTATTTCCCTGGCTCTATCCCATCTCTGATAAAATTTGGTTCTCAATGGACATGCTAAGTAAAGCTTTTTTATCCAGCTCTTCCTGGTGGTATGGTCTTATCCAGACCTTCACCACGCTCTGTTTCCCTATCCCTGCGATAAAATTTGGTTCTCAATGGACATGCTAGGTAAAGCTTTTTTATCCAGCTCTTTCTGGCGGCATGGTCTTACCAGCACTTCACCACGCTCTGTTTCCCTATCCCTGTTCTATTAATGTAAGGGCTAGAAATGTAATGTACTAAAATAGTAGCAAAAGATACTATTTCAAACAGGCTGTATTTTCACTTGTTAGATTTCCCTTAAATTTGAACTATCTTAATATTTTCATCACATATGCTACTGTAAGCTTAAATTCACACCTTACCATCCTGGATTTATAGTGCGTGTTTATTGGTTTAACTGTTTTTAAATTTGTAATGCCGCCCAGAGTAGACCTTTGGTCTAGATGGGCGGGGTAGAAATCCAATAAAATAAAATAGAAATAAATAAGCCCAGCTATGATGTAATGTTCTTACGCTATTTATTCAATTTCTACCCCGCCCCTCTAGACAACGTCTACTCGGGGCGGCTTACAAACATTAAAACACATTAAAACATGATGCAATGTTCTTACACTACTCTCTGTAACTCATTTTGGTCAGGTTTTTGCCGTATGTTGGAATGGTGACCATAATCATGAATGACTATCCGAAATTCAAAGTAAGTAAAGATTTAACTTTGGGGCCATTAAATTTAAAAGAATAATAATTTACGCTTTGGATTTGCACCCTTGAATTAGCAACATCTGAAAGGCTTCAGTTAGAGGGGACAATGATCAGACTCAATAAAGAGTAACTCTGAGTACCTGACATGCATGTGAGCCAAAATGGCGCCATAGAACTTAGCCCAGAATCTGCCACAACAGGTATCTGAAAACCTCTCCAATGTTTCCTTGCACTAGTTTTCCCCACATCTTATTTGCACATTTAAAGCGAGTGCATCTGCAAGGCAGCCTCCCCCCAATTTATTTCCTAAAATGTAGTGAATAAACAAGGAGAGAAGCAAGCTTCCATTGCATTCTGAAGGTGTGGGATATGGTGGAATTGTTTTTGATGTTGTTCCTTGAGGGGGAAAAAAAGGCTTTTTGTCCATTTCTAGTACAGAAATGATACTGCAGCTGCACCTTTTTGGATCGAAAGGGATGCTAACAGACTTGATGCCTAAGCAGAAGGAAGCATTGCTAGTCTGGGCAAGGGAGGGGAGGTGTGTGTCTCCCCTGGGGAATGCTTGTGGGTCATTCTGGCCCTGCTTTTATTTTTCAAAAGCTTAATCCTGTTATGCCTGGCTCAGCTTTCCCCATTCTGGCGCTTTTCTCGAGTGTCCCCTTCTCCAGTCCCCTTCTGTGCCAGCCTGATAGGCATGTATCCTGGGCATGATGGGAGTTGTAGTCCAGTCTAACTGGGGGAATACTGGTTTGGGGAGGCTGTTCTAATTTCATGATATCAGAGATACACTGTCATATGCAAAGGGTTTCAATCAATAACCAAAACTGTGCTCTGAAACCATTTCAGGTTGCTGAATTTTCATCTGGCATATGATGCATATCTATGGTAGTAATTCGTGCATTTTCTTTGCAGTACGCTCTCCTGGCTGTCATGGGTGCCTACGTATTACTGAAGCGAGAATCATAGAAGAATACGGGATTGCCTTGCACACCTCACACAAGCATAGCGATATGATAAGATACTAATATATTTGAAATGTTCCTGTGTGTCTGTACATAATGTTACATGGTGTGCAAACAATATTGTATTGTCCGCATACGTTTTCCTTTTGTACTGAAGCCCTGAAAACATCCTTGTGGGTAAATCAAACCATTTTCATTGGATCAGGCTTTAAAAGTGTTCTCATGACTAGGGCGCCTGCGGATTACAGCGGGGTGCAGAAAGCATGGGCTTCAGATGTTGCTAACTGGAACTCCCACCAGCACTAGGCGTGTCCAGCAGTCCTTGCCAAATAAAGTAGTAAAGAATGCTGGACATAGTGATCCCACAATATTTGGATGACTACACTTTCCCCAGCAACGTTCAGGGGTGGCTTTCTCACAATATGGTTTGATTTCCTCCATGTCCACACAATTCTTATTAAGCAAGATCAGCGTCAGCTCTCCCAATGTCACCCCAACATTCTTTGCAAGATATATATTTTTAAAGGCGGGCTGTGAAATAAAGGTTGTAAGTTAAACCTTGAAAGAGCTATAGTCTTGGATGAAGAGATTTGGTCCACTGTTACACCAGTAGAATGAGCATGCTGGGGGGGGGGAGTATACCTGGCCCCTTCACACTCCATCACCACTTTCCTACTTCAATAGTAATCTATTTGCAGGTGACATACTCCTGTCCGTGCATATGTTGTATACACAAGGAAGAACCCTGGAAAGCCAGGGTTCTTGCTCACCTGTACTTCGCAGGTAGTTAATCTGCCAAACTTTGGCCAGAATCTTACTCATGTTCATGCTGGCATAAAACAGTTGATGTAAATGTACGTGGCAAATTTCTGCAATTTAAGAAGTCAGCCTAGGCATTTGTCTTACGCAGCAAGTCACATGATTTGGTAAGTGACAGCATATGCCTACGCTGACTTCTTCGCTTGTAGTTGTTCACCACTGACATTTATGCTGATAAAGTTATGCCAGCAGGTGGAATCTGGCCACTATAGCCATTTCAGCAAGCCATAGTTAAGAGGCTCATCATTTGGGGGGCGGGGAGAGCAGACGTGCATTTGACATAGAAACCCATGCCCAGATAGGTTTCTACCTCACCACCCATAGCTTTGATAATAACTAGCAGAGGTTCATAGCATCTCAGCTTAGCAACAGCTTAGTCCCCACCACCACCACCTTGGATTTTTTTCTTTCTGACCAGAGATGGTTACAAACCAGTGGTTTGGTGATTCATGCCAGTTTGTTGATCCTCCCAACAAGTGTTTGGCACTTCCCAACCCTGACTCCTTTGGCAGGTGCCCACTCTGAGAGGGCACCTGCTGGAGGAGATGGAGCTGTGAAGTGCCAAACACCTGTTTGGAGGATGAACAAACTGGCACGAACTGGCAAATTGGCAGTTCATACCTGTCTCAATTTCTTACCCGCCACTGGCATTCTTTCTCTCTACACACCTACTTAGCCATTCCTGCTCTATTTGTTTTTTGTCTTCAAATAGTTTTCTGGAGTTCCTTTGTCGTTTACTTTTCTTGCAGCTCTGTGGTCTGAACAGCTTTTGCTGCAACGTTTGTTGTTAGGTCTTTTTGGCAAGTGGCTTCTTACAGGATGCCTTTTCATAGGAGCCATAATAGCTATGTAGTAATTGGGGAGCTCTGCCACCTTGTGGCTGAAGTTTTTACTGCAGGCTTCAGAGATATTTAAATTGACTAGAACTAGGCCAGAATCCTATTGGATTGGTGGATCATAAACCCCAAATTGCATAACTGGTTGTGTGACTATCCTGTCTATTTGTTACACATTCAGATCTACCCAGATTCCACACTCAGTTGCACAACCAGGTGTGGAATAGCAAGCCAGAAAACTGCACCATTTCCTTTCTGCCACCTGATATTTTGCAAAAGGATTCTGCCTAATGTGTTTTCAAAACCAGATAACAACTAAATGAATGTCTCTGGAATGCCCTCAGCATGCCTTCTGTGTTTTGGGTTTCTTTGTTATATGGCTTTGGAGCTATGATTGAGAGAGAGAGAGAGAGAGATGTACCCTGCCTTTTATTAGCGCAGATAACTATTAATTAAAATTTTATTTAATATTAATATTTAATATTAATACAAGAGTTATAAAGATTTCTCAGGTTTAGATTTATTGTTTGAGATGGTTATATCTTCATGTATTGAAGAATGGACAACTTTTTTTTTGCACCAAAATTTATGTGTGTCGAAAAGACAAACAAGTATGATTGTGATTGTTGTACGAATTACAAAATCTGCAAAAACATAATGCAAGAAGCTGTTCTAGGGAGTGCAGTACTCTGGGTAAATCTGTCCAACAAACATACTGGCTTTACTGCTTTAGCTTGTCTCAAATGGAATATCGTTTTGTCATGCTGCTTTTATATGTGTTATAGAATTGCTTCTTGGAGAGCACCTGAATCCATTGGAGGCCATTCTCAGCTTCCTACAGCCCCTTTGTGGCCTTAGAGAAGTCAGTGTAACGATGTGAATCATATTTCTTTTTAATTCTTTGGGAATATCTTTGCCTTTTTTGCATAATCACAGTTATAAATGTGTCAATTCCATTAATCTGTCTGCCTTTTTAAAAAGAAAAAAGAAATTGTAGTCACAGTTTGTTAGATCTGTCTGAAATGAGCTGCAAAACTGCTAAATGTGAATGTGGGGAGAATCTGTTATTAATAAAGGTGGTGCCCCAGAAATATGGCTTTCTTTGTCTTACCGTGCTGTGCAAAAATACCATTAAAAGATTATTTGTCTTCTTTTATGATTTGCTGGAGATGATTCAATACATCGTTACCTCTTATTGACTGAGTAAATAACAAATGCTGTATATTATAAGTAAGCCCAAGTATTTTGTGTCATACTGGATGATGTGTTATCGGCATGGAGGCATTGCCAGATGGACCCAATTATATTGTAGATCTGGTTGCCTTGAATTCAGGATCTGTTTGTTTGGTAAAATATTTTACCCATTCCTGGGTCACTCTCCAGTGCAGGAATGGGTGACCTGCAGTAGGAATATGCCCCTTCACCAAAAAAAAGGTTCCCTCTCTCAGATAAGCCCCTGAGAATATCAAGGTTCACCATCACTAGCTTGGAGTGTTAGAAATCATCATAATTCTGAAGAAATATTAAATTGGCTTTTTGTGGTTTCCTTCTTGCAACTTGGTAACATATATATATATTACCTAGTCCTGCGTGTGTTGAGTGACAAAAACTCTAGGATGGTGTCAGCTGAATGCCTTGACTTCCCAAAGTCTGGGTTTATCTAGATTCAGCTACTCTGAACTGTTTGAACACAAACAGCCTTGCAAATCAGAACACCAAAAACAATATGAGCAATACCGAGGGAGGGGAAGATGAATTTCAGAGGAAACACGTCCCATTTATTTGCAGCCAGACGCAATCAAAACTGCCTAAAGGGGGGAAAGAAAAGAGCTAGGTAATAATTTAACTGACTTTTACTGTCACAATAAGTTCTGCTTCTCTAATGCTGTGAAACAAGAGCACTACATTAGATGAATGCATGGGTACTTTTTAATATATTCTTAGGGAAAATGTTAAGGTGAACATATGTTATATGGCATACATCCAGTATTTCCTTCAGATTTTGGGATAGGGCAGGGGTTCTTACAATACACCCTCAGCAATGCCAACTTGAAAAAGGTGACTACAAAACAGGGTTTCCTGCCTCTGGCCTCTTTTCATACAAAGAAGGATGAGTCCTTTGTGGCACATGCCCAGTTTTTCTGTTCTCATATCCTGCCCTACATAGATCCTTCTAGCACAGAGTATATCCATGGGTTCCCTCGATCAGTTTGAATTAATGGGCCATGTGGAAAAAGAAGGAAAGCCTTGTTTGCAGACGGTTAACGCAGCTTTCGTATAGCCCAGCAGGTGGTGCAGCTCCAGAAGAACTGCTTAATGAGCTGTAAAAAAAAGGACAGTGCTAATTTCTTTCTTTTCTTATTCTTTTTTTTTTAATGACCTGATCTCCTCCCCCTCCTGGCTTGGATCTTTGTTTCACTCCTAGTTGCCACACTTTTCTGCATTGGTTCAAGCCATCACACTACCTGAACTGATGAGAATGGATTAGGTTTTTTTAAAATAATAGAAGCCTCAGCAGGGGATGAAGAAGTTACAGGTTTGGGGAGGGGGAAGATTCAGGGCGAATTGCACAAGAAATACTAAGTGCTATACTGGGAAGAGGCCATAGTTCAGGAGCATAGGTTCAAGTTGAATCTCCAGCATCTGCACACTGAACTAGGTAAAAATCCCGCCAGAAACCTAGAAGCCCAATTGTAGCTAATGGTGGGAGCTGAAGGCTGTAAGTGGCCCTCCTTTGAATGAGCATATGTATTTAGATGCAGGGAAGGGACGTGGTGGTGCTGCGGGCTAAACTGCAGAAGCCTCTGTGCTGCAAGGTCAGAAGACCAGAAGTCATAATATCGAATCCATGTGACGGAGTGAGCTCCCATCGCTTGTCCCAGCTCCTGCCAACCTAGCAGTTCAAAAGCATGTAAAAATGTGAGTAGATAAATAGATACCACCACGGTGGGAAAGTAATGGTGTTCCGTGTCTAGTCACACTGACCACGTGTCCATGGAAACTGTCTTCAGACAAACGCTGGCTCTATGGCTTGGAAACAGGGAGGAGCACCGCCCCCTAGAGTCGGACACGATTGGACTAAATTTTAAGCTGAACCTTTACCTATTTGGATGTAGAGTACGACTCTACAGGGGAACAGAAAAGATGCTGAATATGTGGCACAAGCTGTAAAACAAAACATGCTGAATATAATACTGTAACAGGGCATAGAATTCAACTTCTTGCAAATCTTCGGCATATTTTTAAAGCACGTTTCTGGAAGTTAAGGATGTAAAGTGCATTTGATACTAAAGAAGCTTTGCATTTCAAAGCCATTCCCTGGCGTTTGATCTGGTATGCTATATCGGGAAAAGCAGATATTCTTGACCAGTTTTGTCTTTCTATCTTAGAAAATGACAAATCGATGTAGGTGAGCGGTTGCAACAGAAAACATCATCTTGCCAGAACAGAAGAGGATCACTACTGCACCCATACATAGATTGCCACTGGAGCCATACCTTTCACTAATTCCAAGCAGGTTGTTTTTACAGGCAGATGTGTTCTTCCACAATGAAACCCTTCGACACTCAATGTTGTGTTGCCTGTTCAGATGAATTAGAGCATAATCATAGCTACGATAGTGGGAAACCAGAAATACATAGAGCAGATAAGATAGTGTATATGCATCTGACTCACTCCCATACAGGACTTATATTTATTGTCCATTAGCTTTATTACATTCTCTGCTGAAAGGGTCTGTCATCTCCCTGCATGCAATAGCTTCCAGTGTTCCACAGTGATGTCCAGTGGTCTGTCTTATACTAACTGAACAATGCTTTTATTACTTCCTCTCATTTTCCATGCAGTCTGTTATCATTTGCCTGCGTGTTTTCATCATTTACGTACTCATTAGACACCCATCAGCTTGCCTTCCACCTGGTTCCAGCCTTGCCCACATGTCTGAATAAAGACACTTATGGGACATCTTAATTAATAAGTCTTGATAGATCGGATCAAAGGTCTACCTAGTACTATGCCCAGCTCTCAACACTCACAAAGGATATTGCCATAATGGAATATGTCTAGAGTGGCCAAGATGGTAAAAGGTTTGGAAATCGAGTTCTGTTGAAGTACGTTTATCTCACTCTATGGCAGGATTGGGCAGTGGTCAGAGGTCTTGGGACCATACATGCTCATCTATGGACCTTGGAGGTTCAGATGAGTCTGTGATTCCCTTATTGATTGTTTCTTATTTTTTCTTTAAAAAATATTAAAACCTTGCACTCTCAATCTGGAAGTTCCGTCATGGCAACTGGACTTCTTAGACTGAAACGTTTTGCAACTCATCCAAGGAGCTTCTTCAGTCTGAGGAGAATTGGTAGAGGACCCCTGATATATCCTCCACACTGGTTTCACTTCCCCCTGGTCTAAATACAGTAGGCTTGTTAGAAGGACAAAGGACTGGGGGGGGTGATGGATAATCCTACTTCCGCAGTCCTTCTCCACCCATTGTCATGAGTCCCTAACAGTGGTCTTTCTGGTGTGTGGTCCTGATCTTTCTGGGGATGAATGAAAGGGCAGCATGATAAATAGGAGACAGATTGTATCTAATATGACAATGGGTGGAGATGGAGTGCACAATTGGGATTCTCACTCAATCACAGTCCTTTGTCCATCTAACGAGCCTATTATACCTCTCTAGAAGGTA